CCCCCCCCATGTTCCCAGAAGGGGTACATATGCTGAAAATCCTTGCTTTAAAGTAAACTTGCCACACTTGACATCATCCTCTGACCCTCACCCCTGTGCCCTTTGGTAGGAATTGTATTGTTGCTGAACAGTTAGCTGTAGCTTTAAGTCACTATTGGAGTGTGCCAGATGGATCTGGAAAAAACTGACTATTGCCTTGTGGCTAACGCACTACTTTTTCTATTGAGACCCCCTTGAAATGGATTGAGTAGCTCATAAGACCCTTGCCACCTTAATAATAATGTTTCCTTCAAATAGTTCTTCCCAGTGGCCTTGAATTAGTTCCTGCTACATAAATGTTAAAAGTATGACATCCTGACCATGGAACTGAGAACGATTCCCTCCTATACTATGGTCTCTGCCCTGTCCTATGGCCTTCCTTGCACAGCAACAAAACTAACAAGTGAAAGTTACCTTTTAGCCAAAACCTCATTGTGTTGGGGAGGAGCTTATACAATTGCATAGTACAATACTTCCTTAACTTGGAAACAAATAAGTACCTTGTGTTAACCAGAAGCATCTTCCTTTCTCACCCAATCTGCAGGTCTTCACCGGTACGTGTGGCTGGTTTATGAGCAGCCGCAGCAACTGACCTGTGATGAGCCCATCCTGTCTAACCGATCTGGTGACCATCGTGGAAAATTCAAAGTAGCTTCATTTCGCAACAAGTATAAGCTGGGAGTTCCAGTGGCAGGCACATGCTACCAGGCAGAGTGGGATGACTACGTGCCCAAGCTCTATGAGCAACTGTCTGGGAAGTAGAGGCAGTGGCTTCACCCCCACCCCGCTCGGTACCCCTCCTTCCCAAACTTTTTATCCCTTAGAATAGGTGTCTAGAGGGGTATGTACTATCCCTTTAGGGAGATGAGTTTTGCCCACAAAAAGTCTCAGTAGCTTAGTATTTAACTAGAGCAACTTCTTCTACCTGTCCCAGCTGCCCTTGTGAGATCTGTTTTGCTTTCTTTCCTTGCTCTACACACAGAGAGTGGAATCAGAGCTTTGTAACATCTGTATGCCCCACCCCTGCCCTGCATGAACTCGGGCACCTAAATGCCTTTTAAAGAGCTGGACCCAAATTCCACAGACTGCTGTTGTGTTACGTGTCTTTAGCTCTTTAAAAACCGGGACCTTATTGGCTTGCAGCAAGGGATCTCTATTTAGACTGATTTTAAAAAGGTAAAGGAGAAATTCTAGACCCTGTGTGGATACACTTTTGCTCACTGTTGCCCAGGGGTGCTAGTACACCAACACAGATTGGCTAAGTGAAAAGCTTAGAACTGCTGATGCCTTGTGAATAGCCTATAGCTCAGAAGCCCAGTGAGAAGGAAACTGTCTTTTCTTATCCCTTGACAAAGATAATCTGAGATTTTTGGTAAGAGCTCATCTGAACTTGCATCCTACTACATTCATGATCCAATACCTAATTTCATAAAATGATATTTGACTTGGCAAATAGCAGAAAAGCAAAAATTCAATCCCTTTCTGTGTCAACATATTACCTACAATACCAGGAGAAAGTGATGTTTAGTAGCTAGCAAAAAGTTCTACATTAACCTGTTGACAGTGAAAGAGCAATTACTTTAGTAAAGTTGGTATCATTGCGCTTGATCCTTTAAGGAGGTTGTTCCTGTGTTTCATAAGCAGTATTAATTTGACCCTATTATCTGGTTTGATCTCCCTACACTGAGCACAAGGGGACAAAACTAATATGGGAAGGTTGCTTTAAACATGACTTCCTGTTGCTGGCTTTTCTGGTGGGTTACAAACTCTACTTTTGTCCTGTGCAAGCTGTATTGTGACGCAATGTTAATTTTGTTGCTTTTTGCTTAGAGTTCAATTAAAAAGAACTTAAAGACGCCCAGGCTCTTATTCCTTCTTTACTGAAGTGTCTCTATAAACTGCCATTGCTGTCATGCTGCCTTCTGACTTGATCAGCTTCTTTCAACATCTTGGTCTAAGGGTACAAAGGTTTCTAGTCAGCACAAAGCGTAGGGTGTGTTTCTATACCACTACCCTGTTTTGCTTTAAGCATGACCTCTGCTGCTCTGAGCTCTTGTGAGCAGGGACTATCAATACTTGAAACTGGTTTGATATGTGGGAGAACAGACAAAGCGTGTGAAACCAGGGTTGGTCAACTCATAGCCAGCAGGCCACATGCAGCCTCTCGGGGGTTAAACTGCAGACTCCTGCTCTTGTTCCTTGCTTTGCTCTCTTGTTGGCAGAGTCCTTTCCCTCCTGTAGCTTTCTCTGGCTCACCGTGCTCTTGGGGGCAGGGTTAAAGGAGACCTGGGCACTCTGTGACATCTGCACTGGTACAGTGGAGGAGTCCCTCCTGGGCAGGGAGGCAGAGGTAAGGTGCATCACATCCATGTGTGCAGGGGGCCTGTATAATGTGCAGTTGGGAGGTCTGTGAAACTGGAGGCCCCTGTATTAACCTGGGAGTAGGCCTAGCACATGCTCAGTCATCACATTCTCTGAAGGGTTTCCCCCACCTAAAACTAGTCCCTACACAACAGCCACACTAGTGCTCTGCATAGGTGGAAATAGCTACAGGAAGTATACAGCAGAAACAGGCTTCAGAAACTTTAGAAAACTGATCTAACATCATACCTACCCCTTCCTTGTGAGCTGCTAGCAGGTGCTTTGCTGGAGCAGTGAACAAAAAAACCAGTAGTTTGAAAAACCAGCCAGACCATTTAACGAGCCTGTCAGTCAAATTTCCTGTTGTCTGGGCTTATTTGATCCAGGAGTGACAGCCATGCTTATGTTGGTGGTACACAAGCCAGAATACATGCCTACATGCAAATGACCTGGAAGTCTTGCTCAAAATAGTTTTGCCTTTGAAGAACAGAGTCCAAGATGAATGGAGGGAGGTGTGCAGCTGGAGAGAGGTATATATAACATTCAGAGTCCAAGCAGTTACACTAATAGCACATGTCCTAATGAAGTCTGCTTGCAGAGGGTAAGATGTGAACAGAGCAGCAATTCATATAGCACAGCTGCACAGTGCTCTCTGGAAAACACCTTAATCCTCCAGCTGTCCAGAAGCCACCGTCTCTCTCAGGGTTAGGGCAAGTAACTTGCTTGCTGTCCCAAATAATGTTTAGGGGGTCAAGCTCTAATTAGTCTTACACCTAAAGACAGTACAGTCTTAATCTATTTTGAAGAAACAGCTGAGTTTTAAAGCCATCCTGTGGGCTGCAGAAAACAATCTGCAGTTGCCATGGGGGAAATGGACCAAGATCTAGCTCCTTCCCTAGGCATTGGAGAAGAGACTAATCATTATTTTATAGGACTAACCAGGAAGAACTATTTCACTCCAGTTTTCAACCCCTTAACCTGAACCAAACTGGATGAATTTTCTCCTTTGCTATGTTGTTCCTCCTTAAGAATCTTTAATCCAGTCATCATTGTAGGGGGAAGGCAAGTTAGACCATCTTCCGCCCCCTAACTTCTCTCCTCTGGTAAGGAGAGGTTGATAGGCTTACAGAGAAAGTTAACTCCTTGCTAAGAAGTGTTTTACTTCAAGACCAGTGATTCTTAACTGGGGTGCTGCAGCACCCTCAAGTGCCTTGAGAAACTTTCAAGGGTGTCACACAATGTTAGCACTGTTAGGTGTGCAAACATGAGTCACAAGATAAACCCAGAGATTTCAAACAGGAATCCATAGCATTAAAAACATTCTGATCTGTTGTGGTTTTGCTGAGCAATTTGAAACAGAAAAGCTGCTCTAGTATTTTTCCATAGTTTAAAAAAAAAAAAAAAGAAAACTAAGAGCTAGCATTTTCTAAGGGGTGCCTCAAATCTGAAAAGGTTGCGAACCATTGCTTTAGACAAATGCCACATCACGTTCTTTAATTCTTTGGTAGGGATAGCCAGGGAACAATGCAAGCTGCAGCTGGCTCACTAATAGGAAATAACACATCATGGAGCATCATTCCCGCTCAGTGCTGGAAGGACCCTTATCCCCTGGCTGGGCTAACTTTTAGGAGAGCAGAGAAAGACTTCAGCCTCCCCAGAGAGTGCTGACAGCATTGTTCCTTTTCTCCTCCTGCTCCCAGTCTATGGCCAGCTCCTCCAGGCAGCAGATCTGTAGCAAGTGTTGCTGATGTGGTAGCCAACCCAGCAGCAGCTTTCCCTCAGCCCTAGCACAGACAACAGTTTGCTCACTTTGCAATATTTACCAACTGTCCATTTTATGACCTTTCTGGACACAAGACAAAAATCTCTAACCACTCCAAATTGCACAAAATACAATCACTACAGCAGTAAGTCTCCTGGTCACTGCAGAGTTGAAGGCCCTGCCACTGCCAGTTTGCAAGACAGCAAGGCCAATGTTCAGGTGTGTCAATAACTTTATTAAAGGCTATGAAGTACCTACAACCAGTAGCAGTTTTTTATGTGATCCTGTGATGAAATGCACTTAAAGCTGGAGCAGAACATAGACATCTTTGAATCTATGGGTGACTGGTGCCTCCTGAGTTGGGGGGGAGGGGGGGCACTTGCCCCCCCCCCCAACTGGACAGTCAGCAACTGGGGAGGGGATCCCCCGGTGGCCGATCCTGTTGATCTGCAACTGGCAGCAGCACGCCACTGGCACTTCCAGGCACACTGCTAGCACTTCCGGGTCAGTGGGATCAGCTGCAGGGCGACTGCTTCTCCTGGCACATTCCCCAGCTGGCACTCTCAGGGGTGTCACTAGCACTCTTGCCTGTCCCCCCTGCCTGGGAATGCTGGCCGACAGGGTGCATGTGCACCCCTTACACATCGCCACTGTTTGAATCCATGATGTAACTACTTGACTAAACATCTCCATATACCCTTTCCTCCTATTTAATTGGTAATCCACCAAAATGTGCTTCACGTGTGGTGCTATAAAAGCCATGAGCAGTGTCAACATGCAGAAACACATGAATGTTTAGTGTAATTATTAACTGTAGACTAGAAACAAGATGTTAGTCCAGCCTCTGCAGACGAACTGCAATCTTTGCCAACCTGCAAATAAAAAACCAAAATGTTTCACGACCAAATGAATGCAGCTAAGACTAATATGCTTACCACTGGCTGATGAATGTATGGATGGGCTTGGTGGGCCAAATCCCTTGGTTAAGCTTAGTTAGTAAGGTTATTTTTTCTCCTTGAAACATCCTGAAAATAGGGCTACCTTTTACATCCATGGGTGGAGATGGTAAAGCCTATAGGAGAGGGGAAATGCATTCCCATTGATGGTAACTGTGTATGCATATGCCACAATCACCAGCAGCTGCAATAATAAAGTGGTTCCTTTTTAGTCAGGCATTTGACACCACATTCCCAAATGCTACAGTGGGCTAAAAGGGTGCGGTGTCAAAAGGCACTAGCTCTTGGCCTCTGCTCAACTTGCAAGTAAAATTGAGTAGGTCTGGCAGATTGATGGGCACAGCAGGGATCAGAAGAGGCCAGGACTATATTATGCTGGCAGCCATAGGGAGCCAGGCCTGCATCCATGGGGTGGCCATTATTGGAGGTTCAGTGTTTCCAAAGGGAAGGGGTGAGAAAGAAAAAGAAAACAGACAAAAAATGGTGAGGAAGAAAGGGACCCAATCACTGTGCTGCCTGTCGGAAGCATCCGCTTGTTTCTCACATTGTAGGCAGTCTCAGCATACCAGCCAAGAACCGCTAACAGTCCCTCCACTCCCTCTTGCAAGGAGGAGGAGGAACAGAGAGATCACATCCACTAATTCTTATGGGAGCACAAAGGAACAAGCCTGTTGTAAGGTGTTACACAGTCTAATGCCAGGTATGGGGAAGAG